CTCAGTGGCACCTCCCAGTCCAGAGCTGTGTCCCTCCTTCTCTCAGATCAGTGAGGGTGTGCAGGAACCCTCTGCTTCATCCTTAGTAGCGAGCATCACCCTGTCCAGACTCCCACCCCATTGCTCCAGCTGCCCGTGGCCATTCCTGTAGCCTGGTGCATGCTGGGCTGCAGACCCCTCATGTGGCTTCTGGCTGCACTGCCCAGCCAGTGTTCCTGCATGACCAAATAACTCTGCCTCCTTGTCTCCCAGTTCCAGGTTCAGTTTGCTGTGTGCTGTTCTCAGAGGCCTGTGTCGCCTAGCCAGAACTAATGCTCAGGCCCAGCAGGTGTCTCGTTGTCCTCGACCTCCACCCCACCTGTCAATTAAGTGGGATATTCTGATCACTGGGCATGGCACAGAGGGAGAGTGGGGGCTTCCCTGAGTGGGTAGGGGGTCCGCCGGCCCTGATGGTATCCTGAAGATATCGCGACATAAGTTGGCCCCTTGGTCAGTGATGGGAAATTTTGGGGCGACCATTGCAGACCATACCACATTCCACATGTTGGGTGCTGATTCTAGATGGGCAGATACCAATCTGTGCAGGACGAGCCTGTGGACCAGCCTTTTCCAGAAACCTGGCAGCCAGGTGTCACCCAAAGTGTTGGCGAGTGAGTGGAACCCATGTGGAAACATGTACATTGTCTGGGTAGGGGTTAGGTGGGGTTAGCAGCAAAAATATCCCTGCAGTACCAGGGCCAGGTGGGGCCACCGAGGTACCTACAGCTCTTCGTGGAAGGCCCCATGAGTCTGGGCTTTCTGCTCCTTTTCTCTGTCTTTCTCAGAAGTGACCTTTTCCTTGTCTGTGTCTGAACTGCAGGGACAGTTTGGGAGTCTGCCAGAAGATGTCACAGAGAAGACAGCCACCAGCTCTCCTTCAGTGGGACTTGGTGGCTTTTGTTTGTCTTGGGCCACCCCCAGTCGTGCTCAAGGCTTATTCCTGGCTCTGCTCAGGGATCACTCCTGGTCGGGGCCTCAGGGACCACCTGCTGTTTCAAGGACTGAAGTGGGTTGTCCAGTGCTTTAATGCTGGGCGGTCTCTCTGGCCTCTCTTCTGGCTTTTATTTACTCCTCTGGACTTGACTTCGCTGAAAATAATCATGATGTTGACAGTATTCACGGAGTGAATTCTTTGATGCAGTTCATTATTGAACTCACCAAGTATGCCATAGTTGCAGAAGCCCATTCTTACCAGACTAGAGTTGATTCTTGGTGTAGGAGCTCAGTGTTTGATCTCTAGTTTGCTTTCCATTGTAGATGATGAAGGATGTTTCTTCCTCCTTCCACAGGGCCTTGGGTTGAGATTCTGACCTCTCTATGTGCTGGCAGCCACATGGCCTCACATAGACTGGGGGTGGGTGAAGAAGGCACTGTGGTCCCCCTGTGGGGGTCCAGGGAGGACTGGAAGCATAGCAGCTGCGAGTGGGAGGCAGGGGAAAGAATTGGAATTGGGACTTCATTATATAAGTACCTGGGTTTTTCATGATTCCATTGCTTTCAGTAAGCCAGAGGTAACTTAGAGATTTAAAATTCAAGCGATTTTCATTTGAAATGTGTATAAGTTAAGGCTCAGTGTCGATCGAGCAGTATAAAATTAGTAGTTCTTTGAGACCTGGTGTGCTTCACAGGGTTTCAAGCTGTATTTTCTGTGTATGTGTTTCCTTATGGTCTATAGTGATATATATTACTTTTATAATCAATCAAGAATAGCACTAACCCCCCAAATCTATAAATCAGTCACTTTGGAGAGGGTTGGAAGGAGGGGTGTGTGTGTGTGTGTGTGTGTGTGTGTGTGTGTGTGTGTGATCTGAAAGGTGTGGTTCCTCTCATATTGAGAACACAAACACAGTCTTTCAGACCATCTGGTCCACACCAGCCCGGAGGCAGCCTGCAGCCGTGGGCTGTGGGAGTTCTGACATAGTATGGAGGATGAGAGTGTGTGAATGAGAATGTGTAATGATCCATGTGGGAGATGTGAAAATATGGGAATGTGAAGCTTGTGTGTGTGTGTGTGTGTGTGTTTCATTTTTTATAATTTTATTTATTGAATCACCATGAGAGCAGTTACAAAGCTTTCGGGTCTAAGTCTCGGTTGTACAATGAAACACCCGTACCTTCACCAGTGCCCATGCTCCACCACCAAAAACCCCAGTATACCCCCATCCCACACCCTCCCCCTATCTGTGGGGCAGATGAATTCCACATTACTCTCTTTCTACTTTGAGTACACTCAATATTTCGATACCAGACCCACCATTATTATTTGAGATTTTACTCCAACACTCAGATCTGCTGAGAAGGCAACAGTAGAAAATTTGTGTTCTATTGCTGGTTATGAACAACATATGATGTCACGTTGGCTGCAGTAGGGCCATGGGATTTTGAAATTCCGAAATTTTAACACTTAAATCTGGAGGGATTTCTGCCAAAAGCCACTGGGTTTCGAGATTTGCTCCTGAGTCTCTGGGATCATGGCCGTTGAGCAGCTTGATCAGGAGCCAGAGAGGCCATTCGTAGGCGATGACTTGGGGTCTCATTGGGATGGAGAGGCCAGAACCGGCTCCACCCCCATCCCGTGAGGCCCAACAAGTTTCGTCTCTGCGGGCCCAAGCCTGACTGTCCAATGGCCTCTGGAGGATGATGGCCACTGAGCCGCCAAGGGGGAGTAGGCAGAGGGACAACACCCTTTCCCCCCTGGGGTGGCCCAGCGACAGTAACCTACTGCAGGGTTCAGACACATTTCTGCCAAAAGCCGCTGGGTTTTGAGATTTGTTTCTGAGTCTCTGGGATCATGGCCGTTAAGCAGCTTGATCAGGAGCCAGAGAGGCCATTTGTGGACGATGACTTGGGGTCTCATTGGGGTGCGGAGGGCAGGCCTGGCTCCACCCCATCCTGTGAGGGCCAAAATGTCTCGTCACTGCGGGCCCAAACCTGACTGTGCAGTGGCCTCTGGAGGATGGTGGCCACTGGGCCACCGGGGGGAACAGGCCAAGGCACGAAACCTGTTCCCACCTGGGTTGGCCCAGCACCGGTAACCTACTGCAGGGACCAAACACATTTCTGCCAAAAGCTGCTGGGTTTCAAGATTTGTTTCTGAGTCTCTGGGATCATGGCCATTAAGCAGTTCAATCAGGAACCAGAGAGGCCATGCCTCCAGTTATATAGCTGAGCCAGAAGTGGTTTGTGGGTGTGTTTCCCACATACCTAACTTTTGGCCGTTTACTTTCTTGGTAAACTTTGCCCCAAGGTTTTGGGGTCTGGCCAAAGGCACAGCAGCAATTTTGGGGTATCTGGAAGTCTGAAGGTGCTATCAGACTGCTAATGCACTCACCTCACAGGTACAGATTGACCTGCTGGTGGCACCGTACACCCTGAAGCTTGTGTGTTTTGATGGACTTTCTAAAGTTTTCAATCTGCAAGTAGTGATAATTTAACTTTATTACTGATTTGAATCTTTAATATCTTTTTCTTGTCAGATTGCTGTGGCAAGGAATTCCAAAACCCTATTGAATAAGAATGTGTCTGATTTCAGGGGAAAGACTTTCACTACTGAGTATGATTTTGAGTGAGGGTTGTTGTAGGTAGCCATTACTGCCTTGAAATATTTTCATTCTGTCCTTTTTAAGGGCTTTTATCATGAATGATTGATAGATATTATAAAGTACATTCTCTGTTAATTGATGGAACTGTGTGAATTTTATCTTTCACTTTGTTGCTATGCTGTATTACACTGATTGATTTGTGTGTATTGAATCATTCCTGCCTTCCTGGGATGAATCGTACTTGATTACGGTGTATAATATTTTTGATATATGGTTGAATAAGTTTGCTAAGATTTTGTTGAGGATATTTATATCAGTGTTCATCAGGGATATTGTTCATTTAGTCGATGATTTTCTTGTTTAGTAATGCCTCTTCTTTTAGTATTAGAGTAATTCTGACTTCAATAAAACTCTTTGAAAAAATTTCTATTTCTTCAATATGGAACAGTCAGTCTAAGGTTAGCTACTGTGTTGATTATCAAGCCCATCATGAAATGCTTTATCATTCCAGTCTTCACTGTTGTATTTATAGTATTTATTTATAGCTTAGATCTGAACTGTAGGGGAGTTCCTGGTAGGTCAGTCTTTCAAAATATGTTCTTCAGAAAAATACTGTTATTGCAGCAATTGCTATTAGTTTCTCAAGCTGTGCGTCGTGCTGTTCCCTTGGAAGAGGTTGAATTCTGACCATTTCCCTCCCTCTCCTTCCAGCACAAATCTCACTTTGCTGGGAGAGTGGTAATGCTGGGCGCTGTAGCAAGAGTGAATCTTGTGGCATTTCCTGCAACATGTGGTGCAGGAAAATCTGACTATTTAGACTTATGATTCAGCTTGAGATTCAGCTCTCACACAGGGGCCTCTGCAGCCTGGAGCCCCAAATGGCACATGCCTAAGATGCATGCAGCTCTGCCTCTGCGGGCATGGCATGGGACACTGTCTTCCTGGTCTGTGGCTTCCATCCTGATGCTTTGCCCTACCCCACACTTAGTCCCACTTGGCGTAGGTTGCTTGCAGGAGCTGGGCCTCCCATGGAGTCCTGTGATCCAGAGAATTCCCAAGGGCTTCATGTTTGACTGCAGTAGCTTCCACGTGAGTCTCCCTAAGCTACTGGCATCCATTTGTTATGAAACAATTATTGTCAGTAAGTTTTTTAATTCTCTCATTTTTTGGTGGAGGGATTTTTGGCCACATCTGGTGGTGCTCAGCAGTTACTCTTGACTCTTCTCTCAGGGGTCACCACTACTGTGGGTTTTGGGGACCATGTGGGGTGCTGGGGATCCAGCCCAGGTTGGCCACGAACAGGGCAAGCACCCTACCTACTGTACTATTGCTCTCGTCCTTCAGTCAGGTTTGAGTGAAAGATCTCTGCACTTCGCTGTATGGAAAGCACCTTCAGCCCCCAAATCTTTTTCTTAATAGGCTACTCGAGTGATGAGGCCCTGGGAGGAACGTACCGGAAGTGGAGCCTTGGACAGTATGACAACAGTGCTGGGGAGCAGCCTGCCTTCTCCAAGTACGGGTGGGGGAAGACCACCAGTGTGGACCAAGCTCCCAGCCTGGCATCTTTCCTTTCTCCAGCAGACACCAAAGAGGTACATGCCAACCTGTGTCCATCCAAAATTGTATGTCCTTTCCCACCTGTCCTTTTGGGATACCTGGGTGGGACGGAGGGAGATGACAGGAGTGTGGATGTGAGATGTGAGTCCTTGACGAGGTCATAGACGTCAGCCTAAAATCCCTGTATCCTGTTTTGGAAAACAATATAGGCATTCCTTAAAAAACTAGAAATTGAGCTTCCATATGACCCAGCAATACCACTTCTGGGAATATATCCCGACGGTGTAAAAAAACACAGTAGAAATGACATATGCACCTGTATGTTCATTGCAGCACTGTTCACAATATCCAGAGTGCTCAAGAACAGACAGCTGGTTAAAGAAACTTTGGTGTATCTACACAATGGAATACTATGGAGCTGTTAGATGAAGTTATGAAATTTTCTTATAAGTGGATGATCATAGAGAGTATCATGCTAAGTGAAATGAGTCAAAAAGAAAGGGACAGACATAGAATGACTGCACTCATTTGTGGAATATAAAATATTATGAGACAATATGATATGAGACTTACACTCAGGAACAGTAGAGACAGGGCTAGGAAGATTGCTCCATCCTTGGAAGCCTGTCTTAGGAGCTGGGGGAGAAGGCAGCTGGGATAGAGAAGGGATCACTAAGTCAGTGATGGTTATGGGGATAACTCGAGATGGGATATGTGTGCTGAAAGTAGGTAAAGGACCAAACATGATGGCCCCTCATTATCTGTATTATAAACCATAATGCCCGTAAGTAGAGAGAGTAAGAGGGAAACTGCCTGCCAGGAAGGCAGGGGGAGGGGTGGGAAGGGTGTGGTAGGGATACTGGGGACATTGGTGGTGGAAAATGTACACTGGTAGACGGATGTGTATTCAATCATTGCATGATTGAAACTTAAACATGAAAGCTTTGTAAGTATAGGTCATGGTGATTTAATAAAAATAAAGAAAAAAATCACAGTCTCACTGATCTCAAGACGGCAAAGTTGGAATTCAAGAGACAAGAAGAGAAAAATCACTTGAATTCGGTCTTACTAACACACAGAAAGCCAGTGTTCACAGTGTGACAAAATGGATTAAAAAACTGAATCTGACATTCATGGCACATAAAAAAAAGTATGCAGCTACTAGGCATGGACAGTAGAAACAAGGTCCTGTAGGACTGGTCCATGGATGGAAGCTTGCCACGAGTAGAAGGGTGGGGGCAGGGCAGTTAGGGTAGAGAAGCTGCCACTGTGATGGTGATGTTTGGAAATGATCATGCTAGACAAGATCTGAGTGTTGAGAGTAGGCAAAGGGACATACATGAGAACCTGTCAGTATCTATGGTGCAAATCAAAATGCCCAGAAGGAAAGAGAGAGAGAGAGAAAGAAGAACAGTGCCTGCCACGGAGGCCGGCTGGGGGTGGGGAGTGATGGGTTGGTGGGAGGGAAACTGCGGACATTGGTGGTGGGAAATGTGCACTGGCGGAGGGATGGGTATTGGAACGTTGTATTATGACTGAAACCCAATCAAGAACAGTTTTATGACTGTATCTCACAGTGATTCGGTTAAGAAAAAGAAAATAAAACTCAGAAAATATAAAAAATGTAAAACTGCAAGGAAAGAACAATAAAGCCAGTGTTCATATTTGGGATCCATCTGTCAACCTTAGGCCTCCCTGTGTGTCTGCTTTGTGTCTGTGTTTTTACATATTTGTAAAGATGTAACCAGTAAGGATGATTTCCTGCTAGCTTGTCCACCTCATACTCTAGTGCTCACTTTTCCCATCCAGTCCAGGCTCTGTCAGAGCCACTCACAGCTGTGGGGGGTGAGGAGAGAGCTGAGTACAGAGGCCTCCTGCTTCCTTTATCCTCCATGACTCAGCATTTGTGGGACTGGGGCGGGGATCCGTGTCTTAGGTACGCACTAAGCCTCTTGGTCCCCACTCAGTAGGATGCTCTCTTCAGGGTCCACTTTCTGGGGGTGGCCTCTGCTGACTCCCTTATGCCAATTTCAGACAGCCATCTCCACGTACCCCTCGGACCTCGATGTCATCGATGGCAGGATTTTTTCTTCCACCAAAAGCAGCAGTGAGTCCATATCATCCATACCAGCATTTCCTGTGTCTCCAGGGACACCGTATGGTAAGAAAACAGAAAACTGTCCCCTGTGCACCTTTTTTCCTTCTGTGAGTGGACTTGCAGTAGATTGTGACTTTGTCTTCTCTTCCAGTGACAACACCCCCACAGTATTCCCCGTTCAACCCACCTGGGTCACAGATGGGCGGCACCAGTGGTTTGTACAAAGGAGATCATGGTAAGAAACCTACCCACATCCTGCTGCTCCACTCTGCATGGCACCATTTGTACCAGCATCTTTCCAAGCTGAAAGGTTTTCAGGTGCAGAATATTGATGCAAAATACTTAAGTAACCTCAGAAATGGTGACTCCCTGGCGGGAACGTGTGAAGATGGGTATGCAGCTGCACCCGGCTCTGGCAACATGGAGCTGCCTACATGCTGAGCATCTCTTCATCTCTGCTGAGACAGCGTCAGGAGAAGGGGCAAGGGTGCTCTTGCTAGCTGAGCAGTGCTGAGAGTCGGAAGCAGCAGTCCTGTGAGTGCTAGGGCAGTGCCGAGAGGGAATCAGGTGGAATCAATTTCCTGCTCTGTGCTGCGTGGATAACCCCTTGCCCACACAGCGTATCTGTCCTGGTTCCTTCCTTCCTCTACATGTTGGATCTCCTGGTACATCAGGAGCCTTTTTTTTCTGCTGAGGGGCCCCATGCATATTTATAACATTCATGGGCCATCCAGACTTACATTAACTTAAAAATTAGTCTGGAGTATATATTCTCAGGAGTGGAATTGCTGGGTCATATGAAAGCTCAGCTCCTAGTTCATGGAGGAATGCCCAGATTGCTTTACAGAATAGGAGGGGTCCGTCTGCATTCCCAGCAGTGAGTTACACACATCCACGCCAGCACTGATGGTTTTTATTCATCTTGATGTGTGCCAGTCCTGTGGGGTGAGTTGGCCATGCACCCTGACGGTCAGTGATCACCAGACATTGGTGTCTGTGTACTGTTGACAGGAGAGACTTACTCAGAGAATCGTGTGGGTCGCTGCACCTTGTTCTGGGTCCAGGCCTTCGTGGCCTGGCTTTGGGCAGAGGGCGTGGGGATATAATTAAGGTCTTATGTACATTTATTTATTTATTTAAAATGTAGGAGTATTTTATTCAGCCATTGATTAGGCTGATTGAATTGGGCGTGAACTCTGCTCTTATGCACATTTAAAAGCATTTCCTCTGCAGCTGTTTCTCTGCCCTGGCAGAGGGAAGTGAGATTTCAGGGAGACATTAGCCTTCTCAGGAGGGAGCTTTGGCTGTGTGGCACTTAACGCAAGAAAGCCGGTTGGACTGGTACCTTCCACCTCTTTCCAGGGGGGGGTAGATCTCAGAGAAGGAGACTTACAGACACACAAAAAGAAGCAAATGGAGACACAAGCACTCATGGCACACGTTTGATTGCCTCATTGTCTACGCTAAGATCTGAACTGTTTTGCGCAGGGGACTATCCTGATCTCGGTTTTTTGTTAAGGCCAGCATTTTCCACAGACTTGGAATTGTATGTCTGTCTCTAATTCAGCGGTGACTAGCATTTAAGTGCTTGCTTCATTTTCCCTCTTAATCCAGAGAAAGCTAGCCATTTGTCACTTAATAGATTGGCTATTTTTTTTCTTCCAAGCTCCTTTTTTTGGTGTTAGGAACATAAATGTCTTTGCCTATACACAGAACAATGATAAACTGTTCACCTTACCTAGCAGATATTCTTGAAATGTATGATCAGAAAGATGTAGTGTTGTTGTGATTCTGTTTGCATATGTGAGCATTGTGTTACATGTTCTGTTTAATATACCCATTTTTATGATTTGTGAAGAAATTTTTATGATTTCTTCATGGGAAGAGTGTCTGTTCTAGTAATAATGTATTAGTGCCCTGATCCAATGTCTATTCTTCCACATTTTATGTATGGCATATGTTTGTATATGTATGTATTCATTCCCCTTTTGGTTATTGCAGTGACCAAGGATTGCACTGGCTCTAGTATGCCTCAGGGGTTTGCAGACTTTGTTTGATCCCAGGGGTCCCTCTGGTCTTCTAGGATTTTGCTTGGTCTGTGTGGAGGGTACAGGGATTGCCCTGGTGGTCTCCATCTCAGAGCTGTCCCCTAGCCTGACTCCTGCACATCCTAGTGATTTCGATGGAGGCAAACAAAGGGCCAGAGACTCCGGCCCAAAACCCTTCCTTCTCCTTGAATCAGCCGCAAATGATGTGGATTTGGACCAGCTTCTGATGTGGAATCCAATCAGACCTCAGAACACCTAAACTAGCACTGTAGCATTGTCCTCCTGTTGTTCATCGATTTGCTCGAGCGGGCCCAGTAACGTTTCCATTGTGAGAGTTTGTTGTTACTGTGTTTGGCAATATGAATATGCAGGCAAGATACTCTCAGTAGCTTGCCGGGCAGAGAGGGGCAGAAGAATCAAACTCGGGTCGGTCAGGTCGGCCGCATGCAAGACAAACGCCCTACCCGCTGTGCTGTCGCTCCTTGGAAATAAACTGGTAGTTGAGGGAGATCTAGAAATTACAATTAGAATTAGCCTAGAAAAAATTTCATAAACCTCCAAGCAGAAAATTTCCTCAGACTTATTAGCAGCTCCGGCTGAGGCCTTCAGGGACACTGAGGGAGACTGAGAGGTCCTGACCCTGCTAACCCTTGAGGGGAGAGTGCTCAATGGGTGCCAACAGTCAGTACTAGGCCACCCTGCACTAGTGGGGTTGGAAATAGGGGTCAGCCACATCCATCTCTCTGGCCCTAGGTCTTTTGCTCTTTTCAAAATCCTCTAAACTGGGGGCTGGAGTGGTAGTACAGCGGGTAGGGCATTTGCCTTGCATACGGCCAACCGGGGTTCGATTCCCAGCATTCCATATGGTCCCCCAAATCACCAGGAGCAATTCCTGAGTGCAAAGCCAGGAGTAACCCCTGAGCATCGCTGGGTGTGCCCCCAAAACAAAATTATCTAAACTGCCAGTGTCATAATATTAGTCCCCAAAGTCTTACCTGCTCATGATTTGTCCATCCATGGAGTAAATGTTTGTGTAAGCACCACTCTGGCCTATCTCTGCCTCATTTATGAATATAGGCTGTAAAACCTATTCATGACTGTTGCTTCACGGCAGTGCCTGCTAGGTAGCAAAGGGAAGTCCTACTTCTCTGTTATTTAGAGCTGGATACTCACCTGCATATAAGTGAGAATGTTGGCTCCGAATTACCCCTGGAATAGTGGCTTTGTTATCCTGAAAGATGGAGTAGGAACAGTTTCCAAGCTCTTTCATCTCCATATAAATTAAATCCCTGCACTGTGTTTATAAATGATACCTAAAAATGGAGTTAAGAAAGGCAGACTTACCCTGACCTCAGGGCCCTTGAACTTGAGACCATATCTTAGACCATTAAAAAAAAAAGGTTAAAAAAAAGACTTTTTAAAAAAAAATGCAGTATGTAGAATGTCCTTCAACCATAATGAAATCAAACAAGAAACCAGTAAGAGAAAGATGACCAAAAAGTTTTAAAATATCTGAGAACTGAATAACACCTTTATAAATGAACCAGGGATGTCTTTACATCTTAAAGGCAGTAAAAGAACATAGTGAACTGAATAAAATAAAAAAGAAACATGAAAATTTTTGGAGGAGAGCTAAAAGTGGTGCGAAGAAAATTTACAACGGAAATATGTACCTTTGTAAAGAAGAAAAATCTTGAAATGAATAATTTAATCTTGCCCCCAGAACACAGAAGAAAAGAGCAAGCTTAATTTGAGGTAAATATAAGAAAGGAAATACTAAAAGTCAGTAGAAATCACTGAAACAGAATAGAGAAAATAAATGCAAGAAAGCTGTTTGAAAAGCTTGCTCCAGTTGACAAACCTAGTATGACTGACCAAAGAAGAGAAAAGACACAGGTTACTAATATTGGGAATGGAACAAGATGTCATTATGACCCACAGAACCAGGACACAGAGGCAGTACACCACAGCCTGTCTACATGAAGAGACCACAGGAGCAGCTGGATAGGAAAGAAGGCTTCTATGGGTATGAACACAACCCAACTGTCTGGGGTGGATTAGAGAGGGTGTTTAACTGGAAAGCACACTTTCAAGAGGAGTAGGGTTTTATGTCCAGCAGACTGAGGGTGATAGAATAGTTTATCCTGTTCGAGTACTGTTTCAGGAAATTCATGCATATGCATGAGCAAGAATGCTGAGTGTGCACGACTAAGAAGCAGATAGTGGGTATATACTGCATCAACAAAAATACCCAAACAAGAAGCAATCAAGATTTTGTTTCCTAATGTAGTAATGAAGAGGAAGGTGGTCAGACCTGTCTGACCAGAGGTTTGGGCTCCTTATCAAAACAAAATAGGTTCCTAAGATTAATATTCTTGCACATCCAACCCCACTTTGATCCCTACACCTCCTGGCCCCTTGAGTGTCTCCAGGAGTAGCCCTGGAGAGTCTCAGAAGCATTGCTTTGTAGCCGGGAGGTCTCTGGCACTGCCAGGGCTGCTCTCCCTGGTGATCTCTGGCACCATTGCATCTTCATGCCTCTCAATGGTTTGCCCCCCGCCCTCTGAATATTGCTGGGGAGATCTGGCTAAAAAATGAATCTTAGATGATGGCCAAATGGAATTTATCCCAGAAATGCAACACTAGTTCAATATTTGAAATTCCTCAGTGTAAAGGTAAAGGTAAAGGCCCTCCCGTTGATCGTCGATTTGCTCGAGCGGGCCCAGTAACGTCTCCATTGGAGACTTTGTTGTTACTGTGTCTGGCATATCGAATACTCTCGGTAGCTTGCCGGGCTCTCCGAGAGGGGCGGAGGAATCGAACTCCGGTCGGCCAAGTTGGCCGCTTGTAAGGCGAACGCCCTACCCACTGTGCTATTCACTCCAGCCCTCCTCCATATTGGCGGGTAGATACAAAACATTTTTATACTGGCAAATTTATATTTGTTCATGCCTACAAAATCCTAGCAAAACAGAAACGGGAAAATTACTCTTGCCCTTTTGGTGTATCACAGAAACCTGACTGATAATCCTACTTCTCCCTAGTTCTTAGGGGTGCACCAAAGGGATGAGTAATAAAAGACAGAGATTGGAAAGAAAGAAGTACAGTTGTCTCTTTTTTGTAGGTGGCAAAAAATACCCATGTGGAAAATTCCAAGGAATCCATAAAAGGAAATAAAAAAATCTCA